CATATCTCATTTTCCACTACTTTGTAAACTTTTACATTTCTGGATCTTTGCTCATTCTGATTTCTCTTCTGTGCTACCCCTCACATCCCATCACATTTAACTGCGTAGGCTTTTGCTTATCCTCCCCACCCAACTCCATGATCCGAATTGAGTTCCCTCAACATAGGAGTCCTGTTATATTCTCCCCTATATCCAAGTGCTGTCTGGGTGCATGGCATATAGCAGGTGCCAAACTGACTTCGGAGTTTCAAAAGATATCCAGATTAACTGTAAATAGTCACAGAAGATTCAAAACCAAAAAATTCCACTTATGTGGAGTAAGTGCTTAGTGATCCATGAAAGTTAATGACAACAAAAAAGTAAAGTACAATAAACTATTCCAAGGTTAATATGCTCTTACAAATATCACACAAGGCCAGGCACAGTGGCTCATGCCTGTAATTGAAGCGCTTTGGGAGACTGAGGTAGGAGGATCACTTGAGGCCAGGAGTTTGAGACCAGCCTAGGCAACATAGTAAGACCTTGTCTCTATAAAAAAAACTAAAGAATTAACCAGGCATGGTGGCGCACACCTATAGTCTCAGCTACTCAGGAGGCTGAGGTGTGAGGATCCCTTGAGCTAGGAATTCAAGGCTGCAATGAGCTATGATCACGCCACTGCACTTCAACCTGGGTGACAGAGCAAGACCTTGCCTCTAAAAAAGGAAAAAAAACCACACAAGATTTGGTAAGGTGGGACTACTAATTGAAAGAATATGTCTTGTTTAAAATAATAACTACAATAATAATAGCCAACATGTATTGAGCACTTGTTTCAGTTACTACGTGTGAAATAGGTTACACATACCATATTATTTATTGTGTTCTTCACAGCAGACCTACAAAGTAGGTACTACTATTATCCCTGTTTTACACACAGGAAAACAAAATAACAAAAATCTGAGGCAGATAAAATAACTCATCAGAGTTCACTCAGCTGGTGAGTGAAGCAGGGTTTCAAACCCAAACTGTCCGACTGCATAGCCTTAACTCCGAACTATTATTATAGACCAGCTTTTTTTCCTAATGACAGGTAGGGCAGAGAAACTAAATGTCCAGATGTATTCCAATATGGCAAAACCAGTCCCTGACATCCAAAACACAGCAGAGAGCAAACAAATGAAGAATAGAGACAAAAGAGAAGTTTCATTATCATGGCTGCATGATATTGACAACCTAAAAAGCTACACACTATCCTAGTACAGATGGTAGGGCTGGCACGGAGGCAAATTACAGTAGGAAGGGGAAACTTCAGTGCTGCTGCCTGCCAAAAGTCTCGTTCTCTAAAAAGTGGGCCTGACAAATTCTTATACATTCTTGACAATTTCAATTGTCAGTAAACAGAGGAAACAATGAAAGGAACACACACTCCGAATTTATTCTATCCAGTAAAGAGACACTGCTTGATATAAAGAAAGCAAGAGGAATATGGGTCTGATAACCTGGTAGAGAAATTAACTGTGACTCATTTCCCCACAGGATCATCAGGCTGAGAATGATCCTATGGTTATTATAACTCTCCTTTGCTTATTATAACTCTCCTCCCAACCAAAACCTGTATTTATTAAACTCCCAGTGTGATTCAGATGGGACATGGAGTATGCATGCAAGTGGAAGCAGGCAGTAGACAGAAAACAAAATGCAAACTTCACATACCTGAGCTCAAACTCCAGGTTTGCATCTTATAAGCTGCATGAATTTGACAAGTTACCCTGTTTCCTCAACTGTAAAATGGGGATATAGTATCTACTTCTTTCTTAGCATAACAGTTAAATGAGACAATGATAAAAACTACTTAGCTTAGTGCCTCGCACATAGTAACCAGAAAAGAAATGTCGGTCATTAATACGATTATTGTTATCTCTTAAGAGATTGCCCTGTAAGTCATTAACCGCAGAATTATCTTTATTTTCTGTGATAATTTTCTTGCTGTTACTCCCACAAATCTTCACAGAATATAATGCAAACCCTGAAAAAAAAATAAGTAAAGTGATCCTGCCCCCATTTTCATGCCAATGCTTCAATCCCATCCGAGTGAACAACAAACATTTAGAAAGCCCTATAATGTCGCTGTGCTAAGCTGAGCTGGACAGGGGAAAAAGGGTAGTCAGAATAAAAGACAACCCCACCTTAAAGAACTGCACGATCTCTCTTAGGAACAAAGAGAAACCACCATTAATTTCTCCAAACTGAGCTGCAAGGGTTAGGCTATAACCCAGTGGACGACAACAAGTAATTCCCAAAGAATTGTATATTCTACTCCGAAAACAGCCACAAAAACATGTTTTTGCACATCTTTGGCTTAACTGTCCAGTGCTTTCTGAGAAATAGATGACTCTCTGAAAACAGTAATGGCAGCAAACAGTGGATCTCATACAGATTGGTCTCTAAAGTTAGCTGTTCTGGGTTGTGTACATGTATTAGGATGTAAATGAACATACTAGTATGAAATGCTAAAATGCAGATGGTGGGGAAAAACATATGAAAGATTTTCTTGTTCACATCCAGTACATGAAGTAATACTAGCTGAAGGTGAATGAGCAGAGGAAGCCTGGCTCGGAAATAATAGAAGATTTATTTTCCCAAAATGAAAACAGTTTTATTTATTTTTTCTTACTGTAAAAGTAATACATGTTCAATGCTTTAAGAAAAAAAATCAGAATAAACAAAAGCGTAAGGAAATAAGGAAAATCACACATAATACCCCTATCCAGAGATAATCATGACATTTTGACGTCTCTCCTTCCAGACTTTTCTAAGCATATACTTACATTAGTTATAACTTCTTTTTCAAAAATGGGATAATACCACACATGCTAGTTGACACTTTTTTCCCGTTCTTCTATGCATCACAGTCATCTTTCCATTTGGATATGAAATCCCCAAATCAAAATCACAGGGCAGTTTTCTGCAGGTTTATTTCCTAACACCATTACAATATCAAAAAGGGAAAAGCAGAACCCACAACTTAGACTAGAAGACCCTACAGTCTCTTACTGCTATCGCATTCCACAAGTCCATTCTGTGCCTTGACTAGCTTAGGAGCAGCAGCAAGTTGCTCAGCAGATGGGGCTGCCCAGGTGAGGAGTGCAGAGCTTATACTCCAGCAAATCTGACTGGTTTGGGGCCACTGGGTCCGCCAGAATCATACGCATGCTGAGGACTCAACACTACATACTTAACTCTGAAAAAGCACTGCTGTCTCAGCTTCATAGCCTTTCAGGAACACAGAGGAAATCTCCAGGCAGAGAGTTTGTAGGAATCTCTCAGCTCAACTGATCCTGCAGGACACACTCTTCTGCCCATGTGTCCTGAATTCAGAAACTGCTCTGGGTTGGTAATTAAGCTCTTTTGTTCACCATGTTAATTTTCCCAAAGCACAAATTTATCACCTGCTTAAACAAGAATATTAATCTGTATAACCTCTTACGATGTTTAGGAGTATAAAAGCTCCCTTGCTGATGGAAGAAATAAAGAGTTGCTCAGAAGATAAATGCTATCTACTTTACAATTTTGCTTTAGGAATGTGGCATAAAAGAATAAGGACTACATCGTTAGACAGCTTTAATGTGTGAACTTAGAGGGCAGAGTTAATATGCTGATTAGTGGTCCCAATTGCAGGAAAAAAGATGGCTGGTAGGAGAAAAGAGCAACGAATTTCCTACTGTCTCTGGGCAAGGAAAGGATAAAGCTAAGGAATTCCATCTTTTCTCAACCAAACTGCACTTCAAGTACAAAAAAGCCACTCAAGTGTGTAGAAAATACATTAACAAAAAGCCAAGGGCCTATAACACAGCATGTGAATTCTAAACTGTTAAAGTCCAACACGACCTAAGCTACCATTAGCACCATACTCTTAGGCAGAGAGGTAGGACATGTAGCCTGGGTAACAAATACATAGGCTGGGCCAGAGGTCAAACTGGAGACAGACTAGCCACGACAGAAAGAGGGACTTCTACCATTTGAACAAAACAACGGGCTCAGTAGCAGCTAACCTCTGGAAAACTGCAGCAAATTAGCAGGCAGATCTGGGGAAGACTGATGCAAACCTTAAAAAGCAAAAGATGCATTGAAAAACTGAGTTTATTTTAGGTTATCTTTATGGGTAAATTATCAGTACTCTAAAATTTCCTGACTCTTATAATAAAAGATTACATAATGATCTGTGTGTGTATGTGCATCAAGAGATCACGTAGAAAAATAAAAGGAAAACGCAATACCTGAGGCTCTAAGGGGAGGCACTGTCAAAGGTTGTTAAGAGAGCACCCTTCCATCCTCCCCAAGAGTTCTGGATAAGACTTTAAAAGGACAGAGAAGAAGCACTTAGAAAGACAAAGAATAACAGAACCAAAGTCCCTGTGGCATGATCTGGAGATGAACTATTAATATTTCACATCATTATATTTCAGGTCCTTACTGGTGGCAAACTATGTTTCATAAATGCTACTAATAAAACTCTCCAAAAACAAAAGATGTGAAGAAGGTAGGTTAAAGACATTTAGGTTAGACACTAACCATTGTTCAGCAACCCCATTCAATTTGGGCTGAAGCTCAGTATCCCATTGGGATCATTCTGTCAACATTTACTGAGCGGTTATTCTGTGTCAAGTACCAGTTAGGGTGCAAGTACACAGAGAAGACTCAGTCCTTGCCTTCAAGTCTACAGGGCAAACAGGTAAGAAAATCAATATTTACAACCATGGGATAAATATCAGAGGGGCAGAATCAATACTATAATAGAAGAGCATATAAAAAACAAGGGGCCTTGCCAAAGGACATTTATCCTTTTGCCATAACACAGATGGATGAACCTGAAAACTTATTATTTTGTATACTTATACATAGAAACCACCCCAAAAGAATAAACAACTAGTAAATGCCTTAATAGATAGTAGCTATTGAGGTTATGCTACAAAAAGGGTAGAGGGAATGACAGGAAAAATATTATCACTCATTTTATATAAAAGAGTATTTTAATTCTTATCTTTAGAAACTACAAAGACTACACATGATTTAGAATTGAGACTGTACCAAACAATGGCCAAAGAAGAATCGTCCATGCTACACCTTCTCTTTTGTCTGGTCGCTCAGAAATATAATGTTATCTGTAAAGAAGCCAGAGTGTAAATATTATTTTCAGAACTCTTTCTCCATCTCATTTAATAACTCCACTATAATACATACATACTTTAGTGCTGTTCACTAAAAGGATTTAGACAACTTTTCAAAATATTAAATAACTCTTGCTATGTTCATGAGAGGTATATGCAACAGGCATAAATGGAGCTAAAAGTTGGGCTTTGGCTGTTTGTCCAACAATTCAGACCTTGTTAGAAGAGGTGAAATATTTTTCATCTTCCCTAAAAACAAGATAAAGTCTTCTGAGAAGTAACTTTCTACATAAAAACTGGCCAAAAATTGTATGCTTGCAATGCTCAGACAGATGCCATAAAACCAGGCAGTACACCCTCATATAGAAAAAGATCAAGGCATATCATTCCACATGCTGGAGTTACGGAGCAAAGGACAGGGGTCCACATGTGGCCTTGTTAGGTATGACAGATTTATTTATGTTTTTAAGTAAGTTTAAAAACTCATATACCAGCCTGAGCAAGAGCGAGACCCCGTCTCTACTAAAAATAGAAAGAAATTAATCGGACAACTAAAAATATATAGAAAAAATTAGCTGGGCATGGTGGCACATGCCTGTAATCCCAGCTACTCAGGAGGCCGAGGCAGGAGGATCACTTGAGCCCAGGAGTTTGAGGTTGCTGTGAGCTAGGCTAACACCACGGCACTCACTCTAGCCAGGGCAACAGAATGAGACTGTCACCTAAAAAAAAAAAAAACTCATATAGAAGACACTTTATTTTTAAATTACAAATAGCTTCAATATACCCATTCTTATGGAAATTTTTATTAATAAATATTATAGAGTGAGTATTTTTATTCAAAAACATCAGACATTGCTCTTAAAACGCTGTTCCAGAGGGAGTTAGCTATGGATAAGCAAAGGAAGAGAAGTAGTATAGTCGTCCTGCGGTACCCATGGGGGATTGGTTACAGGATTTCCATGGCTACCAAAATCCACAGATGCTCAAGTCTCTGGTATAAAATGGTGTAGTAGTCGCATATAACCTACACACATCCTCACATAGATTTTAAAACATCTCTAGATTACTAATACCTAATACAATATAAATGCTACTAAATAGTTCTAATACTATATTGTTTTATTTGTATTATTCTCTATTGTTGTACTGTTATTTTTATTGCTTTCTTTTTTTCAAATATATTCAATCTGTGGTTGGTTGAATCCAAGGATGCAGAACCCACAGACACAGAGGAACAACTGTATTTCCTGTATAATTCCAAAACATATGGATTTTTTTAACTCTAAAATTACCCACGAAGGACTTCATATTTGTTCATAACTATAGTCTTCCAAAAATGAAATGTTTTGGTATAGAATGTTTACTTCAGAAGAGACTATTAGAACTGACATCACTATGGAAAAAGCCAAGAGTGCCATCCACTGGTGGTTATTTTTAAGTTACAGATATAATCCCTAGGAGAAAAAAATATGAGCTATAAAATAGATCAACCAAATTAAACTCTATTTTCTTCAATTCAAATGTCACTGAAGATCTATTCAGTTTTATTGTCAATCATAAACTTATAGTTAACTGACCATGTTAGTGAAAACTGGTGACAAGAAAAAAACAAAATGGTAGATAATCTAAAATGCTTCTATTTGGCTTGGTTCATAACAACTCAACAATCTGAACAATCTGACATTTGCACAAACACAAATGAGGGTAGGAAAATACCTACATTAGTTTTCGAGGTTAATATACTTGCAAAGAAACTTATTAGTAAGAAAATATACAATTATTTATAACAAATTGTAATTTATCAATATGGTCTAGTGATTAAGAGATGAACTCTGCAGCAAAAGGAAAAAGAAGATAAAGGAAAATCTGTCAATTAAAAGAGACAAGATATATATAAACCATGTAATGCAAGTTTATGAAGTAATCAAGGAAATTTGAACGCTCATATTTAGTAAAAAAACAATTACCAATAATTTCCTAATATTAGGTATGATAACAGCATGGTAGTTATGTTTTTAAAAAGACACCTTCATCTTTCGGAGATAACTACTGAAATTTAAGAATGAAATGATACAATGTCTGGACTCTGCTTCAAAAGAATCTAGATGGAGGCAAAGTGTCTGGAAACAGAGATGAAATAATACTGGTCATCAG